CCTCCGTCGGATAAAGGTAGGCAACGCATCTGAAATTGCGGATGTCTATGGGCAGCGGTCGCTTCGCTATTCTGGGGGATTCAAGTGGCCGCTTGATAGTTTGTCATCTTATGGTATAAAAAAAAAGTTAGCATAGACGTTTGTTAGGGTTTAAAGCTTAAACGGCCGAAAGGATTTCGATGAAATTTGTTGTAGATGTAGGGGATGGTCTGGAAGAACACATAGTACACTCAATTTTGTTTTTTTTTAATAGCACGCGTACGAAGTCGCGGGCGAAAGCTAGTATGTAATAAACATTGTTTTAAAGAAATCTACAAAGGGTTTTTTTTTTAATTCAATTCAAGTCAAATAACAACCTTTTATATACAAATGATGTAGAACGAAAAGTGAAATAAAAAAACTTTTTTTGTTAAATTTAATTTTTAATCTCTTTGAAGTTGTGTTAAAAGTAATCTTCATTAAGGTTAATTACACCCTCAATAGAGTCTCGCAGACTCAAAATATTTGACAATTTACGATAGAAGATTCAATGTAGAGCATCGGTGGCTCAGGGGTTTAAGCACTTGACTTATAATCTACAGGTCACGGGTTCAAATCCCACTGCGTACCAATTACTTCCATATGTATAATGTACTTGACTTTCTTACGGTAACGGTTTTTGAACATATTAGCGAAGAAAATCAAAGATATGTGTGAATTCAAGTATGGTTGACTATAATACTCACTGAGAGTTAGACTCCGACTCCTTAGGGACGTATAATGAGCCGATTCACGATATATGCGGTCTTTCGACAACTGGCTATTGCAACTTACTTGGAGATCTCGTATAGGAATCTGTCAGCGCGCGCCATGCTGTCCAGCTCGTCCTGGTGCTCCTCCAGCAGAGCCGCCTCCTCCGCGCTCGGCGTGAACTTCAGCAGCTGCTCCACCATGTCTATCGGCAGCTGCTCGTCTTTGTCCATCTTCAAGATCGCTCTAGAATACAACAGGATGACACGTTAAATCTTACTAATATTATAAATGCGAAAGTTTAGATGGACGGAGGGATGGATGTTTGTTAGAGTTTGTAGCCTAAACTTTTGAAGGGATGTCGATGAAATTTTTCATGGGTGTAGAGGCTGGAAGAATACATAGGCTACTACTTTTGTTTTATTGAATTCCACGCAGACGAAGTCGCGAGCGAAAGCTAGTATGAAATAAAGTTGTTACAACGATTTATGTATAGTTTTTTGTCATTGATGGGGGCGCTTGTTAGGTTTCAGTGCTACTATTAGGCAAAATTCCCAACTTCTTTCGAAATTGTCTCAACTTTAGAACAAAAAACCAACACGCTTTTTCTTTTATGCTTCTCGAAATTACTATAATGGCGATATGAAAGCAGTTTCCTCTCCCTCGATGGTCAAAATATGACGCTTCTAAAATGTCATTGTTAAATAAAAAAAATCCTATTAAATTCAAATAAAAAAAGTCTATTAACTGGTGGCAACTAATACCTCTGTCAAACTTAACACTAATATGTATTATTTCTTTTATTTCTAAGGCGTACTAATTAATATTACTAATACTATTCAACGTCAAGTTTAAACAAAAGTGAACATAAAAATTAGAACCATAAGATATAAATTACAATGAACAATTGGTTATTTCTTCTCCTCCTCTATGAAATAATAAGTCAAAAATACAAGTGTTTCTATAATAGTAGACTTACCGACAAATCTCTTCATCAGTCATCTTGAGCTTGGAGAGTAGTATGGTGCAGTTCTGGGCGCGGCGGCCGTCTATCACTGTGAGGATCTTTGTACGCGGCTTCGCCCCCAGCTGGCGCAGGTCCTCCACTGAACCCTCGTTCTACAATCACAAAAATAAATAAATACACTTATTCCTATACAAATTGGTGAAATTTCTCTTTCTTTTTAACTTTTCTTCTTTTTCTAACAGATTGCCAAGAAATTTCTATTTCTATGGATTTCTAGTTCTATTCATCACTAGCTGTTCCCGTGCGGCTTCATCACTACCAATAACCTTGCTTCCTTGATGTTGGCAGCTTGTAGATTATAGTCCGTTTCCCATGTGAAGGTTTTTTCCAATCAATTTACCACCTAAGTTTAATAGCGTGAAAAAATATACCCTAAATGTCGTAATTGTAGGGATTTTTATTAATGAAAGATTTATCCAAAAATATGTTATGATTGCTGAAATCTTACGTTACAAAATAGTGTGTGTTTACGCTAAATTATTTTAGTATAGAAATATAGACAAGCTATTATTACTGAGCAGCTTGGAGTATACCCTAAGTTACAAGGGACAAGGTCATTAAGGTCGTAGTCAATAAGCGAATGCAGTCACCTGTACGCCGTTCTTCTGGTAAGCGCAGAACATCTTGTCGATGGAGTGCAGATCTATGGCGGTGTAGAGGCGGGTGTCGTCCAGCTCCTGCCAGATGGTGCCGTGCAGCTTGGCGTCCGGCAGCTTGCTCCAGTTGAAGCTCTTCAGCGGGTTGCCGGGCGGCGGCACGTGCTTGCGCTGGCGGGGGGCGGGGGCGGGCGCGGCGGGCAGGTGCGCGGTGGGCGGGGGCGGCGCGGGCGGCGCGGGGGGCGCGGGGGGTGCGCGCACTAGAGGAGGCGGCGGGGGAGGGGGCGCACCCCCCGCGCATGATTCTATCACTGCGCTCTTCAAGTTACTCACCTAGAAATAACAGCATATAACATTTATAGACTAGCTTTCACCCGCGACTCCATACGCTTGGAATTAAAAAAAAACAAAAGATGAACGATAACCCATGTGTTACTCTAGACTTTGTTTTATATCAAAGCCAAATTTCTTTAAAATATGTTTAAACATTGCAGAATTATTTAAAGAATGTAAAAAAATAACAAAATTAGCGTATCCCACGGGTAACTGTTTCTGGTATTAAAAGTAGTTTATTGTTCCTCCAAATTATCCTCTACATTTAGACAAAATTTCATCAAGATCCTTTCAGCAGTTTAGGCTACAAAGTCTAACAAATTTAAAAAAACTTCGCATTAACGATTTTAATAAGAAGTGAGATACATCAAAAACTAGAGCTGCCTATTTTTTACTTTTTATTCGTTAAAGTACTAGAAATGTCTAAATACCTTAGCATCATCAGGTATACTGCCCTCACTGACTAGCTTCTCGAAGCGGGCGCGCTCGGCTCGCTCGTGACTTAACTAGAAGTACCATCAAAATTAAAGTCGTGTTAACTAAATTATTGCATACAAAATTACACTTATTCCTTTCACAACTGATTCCTTCTATCTCCGTCTCTCTCCTACCTGCTGGTCGAGCTGATGCGCTCTCTCTGTCCACTCCATGTGCGCGGCAGTCTCCCTCTCTAGCCGCTCCTTCATCCTCTGCACCACTCCTTCTAACTCCTCCTTCTCCTGCGAGCGCTCGTCCACTTGCTTCTCCTGTTGGTTAGTCATGCGCATGGGGTGGTCAGTTACGTGCGTGTGCGCATGTAAAGGGTTATGAAGGCAGTTTTATGTTGACGCAATGTTATTTGTTTAAGGTTATAAAGTAAATTTTCGTATATTTTATAAATTCTATCTTTGATCCTTTAGTATTTTAGAGGTATAAATTCTGATGTTATTGGGTCAATAATTTTCAAAAGTAAGCTGTCGAAATTATTAAATGTGAATGGAAAAGTGAATTTTTCATCAGTATCACCATATCCAAATAAAAGAAAATCTTAATTATAATTAAATGTATATAAAAGCTTATTTTATATCTTCACCCTGACAGAGTTACTGTCCAACACCATTTAATCTGCGTATATCAAAACAACCTTACCTTCTTTGCTAATTCTGTCGCCAGATCTACGTTTTCTCTTTCTAGGTTCTCCGCTTTCGTTCTAGCAGCGACTAGTTCTTCTTCTTTTGCTAGAAGATGAACAATTTCGCCGACGTTAATTTCCAAAGGAGCCATATCTGGATCGTAAACCTGGAAGTTAAAAAAATATATATTTTAATATCCATTAAATACTTCAATAATTAGAAAGATGTAAGCGTAGAGAGAGAGTTGACATAAACGTAATGATCACATAAACAAGAAAATATTAAGATTATATGTGGATGGCTTCAAAAGTAAAGGAATACCCAAGAAAGTATGGATATTATGTGAAAGAGGACATGCTTAAGAAGAGAGTTAATTCCGATCTGACGGCCGATACATATGTGTGAAAAAGCAAGTAATACGATTCCGTAAGGCCAAGAACATAAAAGACAAAATATGAAAATTACTTAATTTTTATAATATCAGAAAGTAAATAAGTAACAACGCCATCTATTGTATTACGAATGTCTTCTTGAATTTCTGGCAAGGTAACACTGGTTATTTTAGTGATATGTACCTTGTTGTTTTCGGATGCGTCATCTTTAAGGGATCCCTGTTCGCTAGCGGCGCGGCTGCCGGCGGCCGCCTGCTGCAGCACCAGCTGCTGCACCACGCGGTCCAGCAGCAACCAGTGCTGCGAGTGAGGGTTGTACTCCACTGGAAATATAATAAACACTTCTAACAATATCATACCAATAAAATGTTAAAATGTCAATATACTCGTATTTCAGGGTAAAGTAAGCCATTAAGTGTGAAATGGCCATATAGCAATATGGCTGTTTAAATGTGTGGCCGTGTTACCGCATACTCTAGTGGCCTAGAGGTCACTTTGCGTACTTTTGTTACTGAACGGCCATGTGTCCGTCTGCCCGTGGTGATCATATAAACAACTACCTTTATGAGTGTAAAGCCATGTAGTTTTGTGGCCAAATGGCGGTGTGGCTGAGTGGTCATATATCCCTATGATCATGGTCCTCATATCATCAACTGTCTGAGACTGTAAAACCATGTGTAGTGGCCATATGACAATGTGGTCACGTGGCCATGTGGCCATGTGGCCATTGTGCACTACTTACGCGGCAGCAGCAGCAGATGCTGCAGCAGGGAGAGCAGATGTGGGTAGGCAGCGGTGTGGCTGAGCTTGCGGCGCAGTAACTCGAACATGGCGGCCGCGCTCTTTGTGTCTACATGCTGCTTGTCGAAGCGGCGCGCCAGCTCGCGCTCGTCCTCGTTGCGGACCATTTCGAAGAACTCGATATGACGGTCTAAGGTTTCGTTCTCGTATTTACGAAGTTTTTCGATCACTGTAAAGAAAACATAACTTTGATAATGGAACAAAGATTAAAAAAAATCAATATGTACTTTTTCAGATTCTTACCCGGTTGTATCCCTAACATGAGTAGTTCGTATCGCAGATGCAGTCGGAATTCAAGGCTGTCTTCTCCAGGGCCGTAGTTAAGTACGGCGTTGACAAAGGACATGATGGCGGTCTTAAGGCCGAGGTCGTCGCGGTACGCGCCCGAACTTCGGTCCAGCTCATTCACAACGCCTTGGAACCGCGCGCGCTCACCCGCGTACTTCTGATAGTTCACCATCGCTTCTAATACCTGCAATCAAATTCATGTTAAATTACTTTCATAGCTTTCGTTTCAATAAAAAAATCCATTCAAATTTTAATATGGAAAAAAATGCTATTAAATCAAAACAAGCTCTTAATATATTTTATTGCTATTAAATTCTTACAGGTGTTTTGTGATCCTATGGTTGCTATTAAATTATTGCAGGTGCTTGTATTTATCTAACCAACTATGAGAAACACTTCCCGGCTCCCGTGACATAAATTTCATGAAACATTGGTTTGCACTTACCTTCTTATGTCCGCCAGGCACGAGGCAGACGGCACCCAGTATTTCTAGAGCCGCGACCTTTGTCTTCACATTCTCCGTGTCTAAGGACTGAGCGATGAGGTCGATACTCGCTGGGTGGGCAAGCACGTGGGCGCGACCGGTCTGAAATATACGTGATACTTGTACAAGCGGATAGTCGATAGCTAGAAGACCTACTAATTTTCATATCCCTGCCAATACCCAGTGCTGTAAAACTCGTACCATTCACCGTAGCGAAAGAAATGTGCAGTTATTGGAAATTAAACTTACCGAGTTGTTCATAAGAGCCTTTATCCCAGCGATAAGATTATGTCTAATGATTGCTTCGTCTCTGGGTGCTCGTTGTAACGCCTCCAGAAGTGTGGTCAGACCTCCTTGCTTGATGAACCGCAGTACGAAACTATGTGCTCTAGTCCTGAGCGCGGTCTTCAAGCCATCAACTAACGCGCACGCTTCTGCTGGGAGATCGCCTTCCGTAGAAGCGAACGCCTGTAAGAAAATTCCGATTCCATCTTTATGCGCTATTGCTAATTTAAAAAGCAAGGTTCCTTCTACACTTACAGCTGTTTTTGTTTTCTCTATAGGATAAGTGTTACTCACTTCAGCGATCTCTCCTAGTGCTTTAACGTACTCCTCGACTTGTGGCGCGCTGGCCAGCGGCTGTGAGCCGATAGGCGGTCGACGGCTGCAGTATATCTGCCACTTCTTGGCCGCCGGCAGTTCCATCATCGCTGCTTTGTTTACCGCCGTCAGGTCGAGTTCCTCCTGATAAATCAAACAGATTCGTTAACATACAAACACATAAAGATCTCATTTACCTACGGTAGTACTGTTTTCAATTGGCTATTTAAACAATTTTAGGTACAGTTTGATAAGATTCACGAACTTTTTTTCACGAGCTTTGCTTCTAAAATTACTTGTTTACCTTATAGGTAAATTTTATTAGCTTTACAAATTATGTTAATAAAAGGAAACCTCGAAATTCTTCGATACTATGATCATAATCACAGCTTAGAGAATAATTACAGAACCACCGCTATTCTCAGACACAGTTAAAAACATCAATTAAAAAACTTCAACCAGTTTACAAGTGTACTTTAAATCTAGTGCGCCTTAACCCGAATAAGAAGTCCTTGATAGCATTTAACCTAAATTCTCAACTAAATCTATAAAATTGGAATGTAAATTGGGTGGAAATGTCGACTAAATCTGATAAAAAGTCACTTGAAAAATTCCGAGCCATAAAACTGCGTAAATTAACCATTTCATCGAATAAGGAATTGACCGATCACGGTTTTAATACGTGTTACATATGGAAGAGATCGGAAATGGTAAGAAATGCGGACACTAACACAAGGTGACAAGGAATTACTGACATATTAAGATAACATTTATACGATAAATTAACACAACCGAAAAAACTACACAAAGAGATATTGTAACTTAAAACAAGAGCAGAAACACCTTCTATTACTTATTACCATCAGAACTTGTTATTAATAGATATGAATACATTACAAACAAAGAAATATGTTTAGTGTACGCCGACCATTATATGGAAGCATAAGGAAATATTAATAACAGCGTGCGCACACCTGAAACTATCGCACAATCGTATCGCTTTGATTCTTGCTTGGGATGTACACTACTCGATTTTTAGTTGTGCAACTAAGTTGTATTGACTGCAAAACAATCGACAATCGCACAACGGTTGTGCGATAGTTTAGTCAAAGGTGTGCGCCCGCTCTAAAATCAATACTCGAAGCTGTAGAGTATTGAGATGCAGAGAAAGCTTGGACAAGGGCCAACAAACACATCTCTCTAAACAAGTTCACAATACTTTATAGTACTTTCAACTCAAAAGAGAAATTATGTAGTACTAGTTTTCCCCCTAGACTCCGTTCGTGTAAAATAAAAATAAAAAAGTGAGTAGCCTATGTATTCTTCCAGACTATCCTGTACATCTATGCCAAATTTCATCGAAATCCGTTCAGCTGTTTAGTCTACAAACTCTAACAAACATCCATCCATCTAAACTTTCACATTTATAATATTAGTATGAAGTAAGATATGATGGATAAGACACATTCGGAATATAATATTCAATGGCGTCCATTGTATTAAAACGAAAAAAAAACTATGAACTACAAAAACAACTTTTATACTGTAATTCTTGGAGATACTTTTAGTACTAACTTTCTCATTGGAACTTGGCAATGAATGTTGACTCTTCCGCATTATATCGCGCGTTCTTTACTTTGATGCAAGTAGAGAAACATTTCTAAAGATATAATTATTCCAACAAAGTATATTATCAACCTTACAGTCAGTTTTTAATCCTTCGGGTTCATCCATCATCCGTCATCAATCATTTCCTTCTTGATCTTGTTTCACGCAATCCATCCATCTCTTTCTATGCCTCCACAATTCACCAACCAACCTCGCAGTAATTAAGACTTAAGTTCCTAAGTCCAGGAAGAATAGCGATTCACCATTTCAAGAACAGCAAAGCTAATTAGTTACATAATATTTAATTAACATAAAGAGAAATGTTGACAAACGCAACACAAATAATTATCTCCAGAAACCAAATATTAATAAATATTTGCATCTAATAGTGTTCAGCAAATAATTTACAAAACGCATCAAAAACTGAGAATTAAAGAGAAACCGCGAACTAAATGTAAACAAGTCGGTTAAAGGCATATCGTTCCAACTTTTGAATTATTAAATAACTACGTTTTTTACGGTCTTAAAAAAACAAAAAACAAATTAAGATCTCCTCCAAATGTGTTACTTCATAATTTAAAGTCGGTTAACACAAATACATTTTGATGTTAACCGATTACGATAACCCATGGCTGTACAAAATCGATCAGATATAAACACGCTTTACATCACTTTGATGTTAAACGAATGTAACAAATGTAACATGGGCAACCGTTTTCGTAACATTATACAAATACTAAACAGTCAGTAACACTGCGGTTAACCAATATGATTCTTAGATGCGTTTGTAGAACATGAAACTCGTTTTATAGGACTCTGCTACAAAGTGTAACAGACGCCATAATATCAGAGATGTCGGATTTGATTCACAGACCAACGTGATGTTTTCTAGATAATAATTAAATACTTTAGGGCCTGTCCCACCACCGGCTGGTGAAGGCAGGAGATAGATTAAAATGTCGTCACTGTCAGATAAGGCAACAAAATCCGATATTTCCATGACATAATTTACACGTTGGATTGTTATCAGACAAATTAAAATTAGTTGGGAACAGGCCCTTAATCTTGCTGACAGTCTTAACTATCTATATTAGTTTGAATCCTCACTACTGCTACAAACTGCTAAAAACATCAGCGACAAAATTGAGACAAATAGGCAGAAAAAACCACGCCTTTAACCTCATCATTGATAGAGGTGTGAGGCACCAGGATGAATCTCCTAGGTTTAAATGAAGTTCTGTTCGTTTGCAAACATTTACTTCATGATAATACTTTACATTACATAGGTACTAAAAATGCACAGTCGTCTAAGTCTAGAGACGACCTCGTGCGACACATAGCTCAGGGGAATTCGCACGAACTGACCGCATATCTGGCAAGCAGTTGCCGTGTAATTGAAGTAATTATCTCACATTATTCTTGGAATCTGAGAAAAATATAACACATAGAAATATGAATATTACAAAGACCATGAATTGGATAAGACCTGAAAGACCTTGAAGTGACGTTTTTGCATTATCCAATTTTGCCTTACACACTTCCCAAAACATTGTTTTTTCTCCATAGTCAGCAACGCATACCTACATTGATTTTAGACCGAAGGAAAGCGCCAAGAGTTTATAAAAAATGTGTTTTGTTTCACAAGGAATCGAGCCTATAATACAGCGGTTCACGACCATTGTACGCAATTACATTTAACAAGGTAATTCCAAACGAGACGATCGTAAGCAATAAATACAAAGATTAGCGCCGAGCTTCAATTTGCATTAAACATTTTATAGGCTTTGAAACTGAGAACCATGCATCAGTCTGCTTTCTACGGTGCGTTTCCTCGGCACTGAGGTGTAGGCTATCATTAGTGCTTTCGCCAGCATCTGTGCCTAGAAACCTTGAGAGATTATTACCATCAAATATCTATGCGGTTGTAAAAGACGAGCTTGACTAGTTCTGCGGTGAACGTCACAAACATTAAGCCGCCTACAAGAAGTTTCCTGAGTGTATATTAAACGCAAAGTTTATTTATTTTAAAGATTTCTTTATTTTAAATAATTTAATCTAATCCACACTGGATCAGACAGTTTGACTAAGACCTAGTGACCCTGAACTTTGGGCTAGCTTGAGTTCATCTATGAGGCAATTGACGATGGGCGTAGCAATGTGTCGAAAATTTATACAAGAAAAATAAATCACCGTAAGCCAGTCTATGGAATTATCAATCTTATCGTATAGTTTATAGACCGCCTAACCTCTTAAGTCAGCTCCTATGAGTCTCAGAAGCAAGGCTAGATGGCTACTAGAACACAAAGCGGCTGTATTTACTCTGTTGCGAAAAAAGACAGGATATTAAACTGCAAGGCCTTTATTTCAATTTAATATCGTAAAGATATTACAAAAGATTGTTTTCAGTAATACATGTTTAGTTTTCATAGGGTTCAAAATCTAAATTATGAAATCAAGAAAACGTTACCAATTAGAAAAGGAACTTCTCTAAAGTCATGTAAGTATGTGGTATAATAACAACTTTACACGTTGTCTATAATTATCGTAACATTGCGACAAACGGATAAACATTTTTTTTCTTTTCCCATGACAAACCAGATCGTATAAGAATACTTGAAATAGCGACAAATCAAGGAAAAGCGTCATTACAGTAAAGATACGATTTCTATCCTTTTACTTACAGCAAAACACAAACATAGAACTGAATTAATTAACAAAAGACATAGGTTTTGAAAAGCAGAGCAAACTTAGGCTATAAGGTGAAGTAACAAATGAGTTTCAACTATTAAAAAAAGAACTATATTTAATTCATACTTCTATGCTTCTAACAATGTTAATAAATCATTCAACCGGCATAGTTCACAAGAATGCCAGAAACAGAATCCGGTTGCAATCGTGACTCGGCCATAACCTTTATCAACCTGTCGTACAAGCTGTACAGCTTTAGCAAATTGTCCCTGATTACTGCGAGGTCTCATTTGTTAACAATAATTCGATAGCATCTTACATCACCTCATATATCTACCACAGATTGGAATAAACTAACAATGGTATCTTATCCGATTGTCGTAGACAGCTAAGTATGTTTGTACTGATAGAAGTTTCGATGACGCATCATACACTATGGATTCAGCAAAGAACGCTGTTCAACAGTAAGTTTGTCATCATCTTCCCCTTTTTCCTTCTCCCGTAAGATCGGCGCGTCGGTTTTATCCTCCAAGTAAGTCTATTCTCTCAGTCATCACTTCCTTCTCGATCATGACCTTTCACGCAATCCACCCATCTCATTCTAGGTATCTCTCTACCAGTACCACACTCATAACTGACTAAAGTTTATATCTATACAAACATTTTTACTATTGTATCAATTGAAGTGAACGATGTATCGATTTGGTGAACGAAAACTTGGATAAAAAGTTCCGAAAAGAAGATAATTTATTGATTGATAATCTTGATTAATCAATGCGCACTTCCAACTTGCTACATTTCTAAGAACGCACGAAGGTCTTGATCTATTTGAATTTCAATAGCGATCT